CTTTATATGAATCATTGCGTTTACTTAGCAGAGAATTCGTAGTGTGACAACGAATGGGTATAATGCTAAGCTGTTTTAAAGTTGGAATAGATGCAGCAAGATTGGATTTACATTTGGAAAGTGAAATTTTTAATGAATGAGAATTCATGAAACGTGCACGCTGATGTAAAATTGTAGAAATCATTTTTAGTTCAAAATAATCAGTGCATATTGATATATATTTTTAATTTCAGTGATCGACGTAATTTAACCAAAATTATGAAGCTTTGATTATCTTTACATGCACTGATCTTTTTACGCAAAATAATTTTTTTTAACCGCATCTAAAAATTTTTATATTTCTTACGTATACATTTACTTCCCAATCATAATATTTGCTTGTAAAATTTTAATAAGAAATAAAATTAGGATTAAATACTTTATTAACGTAAAATTTCCATTATTTATATGCTTTACTTTGAGAATGGATTCGTGATTCACGAATTAAGAAGAGTACTCGAATCATGTGGTTGATATCAACTTGTTCCAGTATCGAATTATTCGGATTATTAAATTTTAAATTACAATCTATAAAAGCAGATTTGGGTCTCGACCCTAACAATTCGGACTCAAATCGTGATAAAGTCAGTCACAAGTTGACGAGTCCAATCACTAGCTTTACTAATAAAAAGAAGGAACGTAATTTATTGTGATAGCTGAAACCGAAATTGGCTGAAACTAAAAATTGACCTATTATATTATGAAAATTATAAAATTCTTTTAAGTGCGTTTTTTTTGTAATATTTAGATTAATAAAAGAGTATAAGCGGGTTTTAGTAGGTTTAATAAATCTAAATAGGAACCCCAAATTTTCAGCTTCAGTCAATTTCAGCTTTAGCCCTCACAATTAATGTGTGCTAGAATATGATTACAGTCAACTCTTTCTAAATCGGCTCTCGCTAAACTGAACACTATTTATTTCTCTCTAAACTGAAAAAAAAAACCCTAGAACATTTGTCATTTTTATTAATAAGTTCGGATTTTTGGATATAGTATCTCTTTAAAGACTGAATGCTAAACTTTTACATATAAAAATCCTTAAAGAGCATTTTTGATTAAATAAAGAGAGTTGACTATACATTATAGATTTATAGGTATAAAAAGAATATTTTAATCTAGGTTATAAATTAGTCACTATATTAGAACATAATAATATTGGATTATCAAACAATAAAGAGGTAAATGACATTAGTGTTTAAATAAATAATTTTTTTTTTTTTTTAGTTTTTTATATAAAAAAATTTTTTTATATAATTTTTTTTCTTATATAAATTTGTTTTATATAAATTTTTTTTTTTATATAATTTTATTTTTTTATATAAAAAATTTTTTCATACGTATAAATTTTTGTAAAAACGAACATTGAAATATCAAATAAAAATTTTCTCAAAGTTTTTTTTTTATAAAAAGTATCAATCTGATTGGATGAAGGATTGCAGCTTAGGATCCGGTCCTGGGATCGATCAACTAACGGTTTTTTGTATCAGGTCTGGGACCGTCGTTTCAGGTCCTAGGACCTGCACATCACGGGTGGATCACGTGCGTTGCCATCACTAAAGCAAGACATTCGTTTTTGATACCCCTGCGCCTACTTTTTTGATACTGCAGATCCCAGTAAAAATAAAAACTTTTAAAAAATTTGAGCGAAGATATCTCGACAACTTTTGCTTGAATCTGTTAAAACCTTTTCGTTTTGAATTCTATGGATTCATAGAATTCAAATAAAAGATTTCATCGAATTTAACCATGTGGTTGTTGAGATATCTTCGCTCAAAATTAGAGAACAATCAAAACCCTATCAAATAGAATCTGCGACAAATTTTTCTCTAAATTTGAGCGAAGATATCTCGATACCCACCTGCCAAATTCGATATACCTTTTTTTTTTGAATCCTGTGGATTTATAGATTCAAATATAAAAAAATTTCATCGAATTTAGTCGAGTGGTTATCGAGATATTTTCGCTCAAAATTAGAGAAAAATAAAAACACAGAAGCTACGCTAAATTTTCTCTAACTTTGAGCGAGGATATCTCGGTAACGGTCTGACCAAATTTGATAAAACTTTTTTCTTCCAATTTTATGCATCCATAAAATTTAATAAAAAAAATTTCATTGCATTTTAATCAAGTGGGTGTCGGGATAACTTCGCTCAAAGTTAGAGAGAAAATTTGGCGCAGATTCTATATTGATAAACATTTTGATTTTTCTCTTTGAGCGAAGATATCTCGACAACTACTTGATTAAATGCGATGAATTTTTTTTTATTTGAATTCTATTAATCCATAGAATTCTAATAAAAAACTGTTTATTGAATTTGGTTAGATGGTTATTGAGATTGCTTCGTTTAAAATTAGAAAGAAAATTTGGCGTAGCTTCTATTTTGATAAACGTTTTGATTTTTCTCTAATTTTGAGCGAAGATATCTCGATACCAATTTGACTAAATTCGATTATAATTTTTTATTTAAATATTATATATCCATAAAATTCAAATAAAAAGGTTTAATCGAATTTGGTCAAGTGGGTATCGAGATAACTTCGCTCAAAGTTAAGAGAAAATTTTGCGCAACTCCTATTTTGATAGGCGTTTTGATTTTTCTCTAATTTTGAGCGGAAATATCTCGACAACCACATGGCTAAATTCGACGAATCTTTTTTTATCTGGATTCTATGAATCAATAGAATTCAAACAAAAGGCTTTATCAAATTCAAGCAGGTAGTTGTCAAGATATCTTCGCTCAAAGTTTTTAAAAAAAATATTTTTACCGGGATCTGCATGTCGATCAGTATCAAAAAAGTAGGTGCAGGAGTATCACTAAAATAGCGAAGTTTTTTAGATTGGCGTCCAATATAAAAAATATATACTGATAATATTCAAATCAAAATTTATCGAATTTGCAGAATAATTATTGTTAATTTTTATCAATTGTCCAAATATATAAGAATTCAGAATTAAACCCGGATTGGTGTTTCGCACTGATTATAAATTATTGTTATAATTTCCTTATTTGGGTTTCACCAAAAACACTAGTTAAGACCAAGTATTAATTCTAAAGCCTCTCTTAATTAGATACTTTACAAGAAAAAAAATAACAGAGAAGGATGGTAACAAAATTTGTAAACCTTCAGGTAAATTGTTGCATAGAAAAATTATCTTCAAGCTATTCAATAGTCATGTTTATGCATTGGGCACCAAAAGAAATTGTTGTTCTGTTCAGTCCAGAGTGCAAAATAATAAGACCAACTTATTGTTGATTGATACTAATGATAACAATATGAGACACAATATACCTTCTTTGGATGTATTATGTCAGCCATATCCAGAAAGTCAACATTACAAGAGCGAATTGCATATCTTGCAAAGAGTCTATTAAGATGGAACCTTAATATACCAATCACGAACTGTAAACTCTCACATTTGAAACAAAAAAAAAAAGGGGAATAATGAGATTTATATTTGGCATGTCAATTCATTACAGAACCGGAAACAGAAGAAATGAAACTCAGGATATTAACAACAGCAAGAATGAAATATTACCGGTACAACAAATTTTACTACTAAAAACAGCTTAGCATTATACCCATTCGTTGTCACACTACGAATTCTCTGCTAAGTAAACGCAATGATTCATATAAAG